GTGCTTATGGGTGTATCAATCGACGCCACAAAAATAAAATTCCCTTCTATCGACTATTAACGGACAGTTTGTATTCCGCCATGACAAAGCAGGAGTATTTTTGCACCCCAGTTTTGCTACTTCCGGGAAAGTGGTCTATTACGTTGGGTGTCGTATGGCTTCCGGGTTTATTAGCGAGCCACTGTAGAGGCAGTCATACCGTGTGTTATTCACGTTGGAGCCTATTTCATTTTCTAAACTCAAAAACACATAACGTCTATTAATAACCACAGCTTGCATAATTATTAACACGCTCTCGCCCAATCAGAACGACGTATTAGGGACAATATTATACGAGTATATACGACTGCGCTTTACCCTTTTTGTCACGTGATATTGTTTTTATGTCATACTTCATTTTGGTTCACAGTGTGACCTATAAACTCATTGGAAGGCATAATTACCCTCTAGTATAAGAAATGAATTCATGACAAACATGTTAAATCACAACTGCTCCTCACTAAATTGTGCTTATATCTTTCTACGCACCAAAACTCGAACAGACACCCAACAATACCGTATTATTTATTTATATTGAATAAAATTCAACTGAAACACAGAAAGCTATTCTCCATGTACATTTAAAAATGTTACAATACTAGTACTAATTTATTAAACATTTTTACAGCAGTTTTAAAAATAAAAATTTTCTATATTTTTTTTTTTAAATTCGAGATATTGGTGCTTTGTTGATGGTAAAGAACGAATGAATAAATTTACAATCGATGGAGGATTTTAATCATGAAATATATTTGTTTCAGGAGTTCTCTGATGATGTCACGGATGATGTCAAAACGGAAAAAAAAGACATTTGTGATATACTGGATGACGGCCGAAAGATAGATACATATGCATATCCAGTTGTACTTGTCTACAGTTATTATTAGGGATTGATTTCAGCTTAGGGTGTCTTGAATTGAAATATGCAAGAAACATTTATATTATTGCTTGGTGCAGTCATCGGAGTCCTGGTGTCAACACTGGTAAGCGTACTATTATAATTATGGATAAAACATAATTAGATATTTCAGGGGTGTTCTTTCATTAGCTACAAACTTAAAATAGATACCAAATGTATGGAAGTGGAATGGCATCTTTTTTAACTTTCGCTGTATATGTCAATATTAAGAACTGGAAACATCCGTGTACTGTCCCGGCTACATTTCAGATGGATCAACTACAGTGAAAAAAATATTAATAATATTAAAGATATGTACTTTAAATCTATCTCCAGCTATTCAGTGTATCGAACAATGACTGTGGTACCGGGAGTGGCGAGGTCACAGCAGCAGTCGGCCCAGCTGACGCAAGAAATCGATACTCTGACCGAGATCCCACAATATTTAGTCGAATTATTGACAAAACGTTACCTGCAACCATTATACATGAAGACGCTCTGGTAAGACTTCGTAGCTACAGGATTTCTCGATGCATTTGTATGTTGAATTGACCATTATAGTGAAGTCCATCCGAGAAACGTAATGTCCATGTCAGAAGTTATATTAAAGGGCGGTGGTCGTTACACCGCGCAGATGCAACATTTCTGTTAAGCATTGATTTTACTACACCAATGCGCTTTTCTAATGGAAATCAAAGGGTACGAACTTTGATCATCGCGCTACGTGCACGAATTATCGCCAGTGACACTTTTCAAGAACCAAAAATTATCTAGTTAAAGCTTGGTAACGTATCAGTTTGTACTCGTTGGTCTGTGCAACAGTCAAAGTCGCCATCTTTGTTAATATGAGACCAATATTCGCGCGTGCGTGTCGCGACGACCACCGCCCTTTAACTTCATTCACATCAACGCTGTTCTTAGTGAAACAATCAGTGTGTGACTAGGGTATTTCAATTTTATTCATTCATTCATCCATTGCAGTGGATTGATGTACCAATGCAATTGGTAGATCACAGATCATAGTCAGTTTATTGTTATTTTCATATTCTTCCAGTGTGTGGCTTTTCTTAATAAAATTCCCAGGGCACCAGTTCACTTCCTCGTTGTTCCAAGAGAACCGATTCCGATGTTAGAAATGACGGACGATGACGATACTGAGGTATGAAAAATGCTTATAGGTCACGTGATAATTCTCATTGGTGTATTCATATGTTCAATCATAGAACTATTGTTCACCAGTAACATCATTCCGATGTATGTTGAATGCCGTATTTTGCTTAGAGAAGTTTTATGAAACATAATGTTAAAGAAAAGCATCAGTTTTTATGAATGTGTAAAACCCACATTATATATCAGTCATAAAATACCAGTCACGATATATAATGTGTTTACTCTGTATACTAGAACCGATGGTAAAAACTTTCTAATACTGACAAAATGCCACCAAAATACAACGATCATTTCGCTAACAATATACATGTACTGGTGACTTCTAAACTTTTGAATAGTGAAAATAACATACAAGACTTTATACAAAATTCGTATAGAAAAATTTAAAAGTCCAGGAACACAAAACAAGCGCCTGAAACAATTCACAGATTAAATCACAAGAACAAAACAGAACATGATCTTTATATGGATAAAAAATACAATTGATTGCAAAATGAAAACATACTGGACAGGATTCTACTTTAGCCAATGTGAATAAACGTGTTATATCGAAAAGCGAATTTGTCAGCAAAGCTGCTTCGTGCACGTGGTATCATTTTTTTCTTTGATTTGAATAAAATATATTGATGAATTAAATATTTATACAAATAAACATTGAGGTAAATAAGTTACAATTATTCATAATGTTCGCACTAAGCAGTTTATTTGCAGTTTATAGTTTAATCTATGTGTAAAAAAACTATTTTCAGACGTACGTATTGTCTCAAATGTGCCAGTATTCATAGTGTTATCTCAGTTCGTCTTAGCTGTTATTTAATTTGTGTTTCAGTTGTTGGGTCATATGTTGAATGTTGCCAGAAAAACTGCCGTGAAGGAGGGTCTAGACAATGGATATAGAATTGGTAAGTTGAACGGAACTGATATTAACAGGTGGCACACTAACGTCCTTTCATAAATGTTCACGAATGGTACGATGGTACCAGATTACCAGGCAAGCATCCTAAACCCGTGGGTGTGCACATTTGGTTTCGTAATAAAACTATTAAACATAGCATGTTTCTGTGATTTATTATGTGACTTTCTTCGACTTATTATGTTGGGGGGGGTAGCTGGTACAGGTTACAAGAAATATATGCATTTTACGTTTTTACAGGAAATAAAAAGGAAAGTTTCATTTACAGTAAAAAAATATATAGTTTTTTACAATTCACAGATAAAGCAAATTCCTAATTACATTTTACATTTTTTTATAAAATATACTTGATAATTCGTGTTTAAGAATCAAAATTGGAAATTGCGTACGAATTACATTTAATGTTGAAAATACATTATACGCTTACAAAAAATAAGACCTAATACGGACGAATAAAATATCTGATTACATTTTACACCTTGTCCATGTCTACGTTTTTTTTTATTTATTTAAATTACATTATTGCGAAAATAAAAACAATTGATTATAACTTACGAAAATACCCCTTGCCGACCCTCTATTACTATAGTTATATTGTTACTGTACGTTGATTGTGAGGTTCGGTGTTACCCAATGTGTGCTATGATGTAGATATTCGTGTTATAGTCTCAAAAACAGACATATCTATAACACAACAACGTGGTAAGTAAACTTATGAATATGAAGTAGGGTGAAAAAGTGTAGATATCTAATTCTCAATTTGTTTTGTATGTTTGTTCTCATTCTATTAAGTCATCAATGATGGTCCAGACAGTACCCAGTCGATATATCATTTGCATATCCATGTGATAGGAGGACGACAGATGGGATGGCCACCTGGTTAGATGACTGAGCGTGGCAAGCGAGTTTGAACCACTGCTAGATTACAAACATAGTAATTCGTCCATGTTTTTGAAGCTGTACGTAACATACAAACTCCATTGACGAATAATCCAGAGAATGGTGCGGGTGAATTCGAATACATAGACGAAAAGTCACTGTAAAAATATATATTTAAATAAAATGAAAATAAATAACAAAATAAAGTGTATAAGTATGTTATTTAAAAAAAAATGCTTACTTTAGTCAGTGTTGAAAATTACAAATGAATTTGTCAAGTGTTATTTACGATGTTGTTGTTTGGTTTCAAAGATTTACATAATGTGTTCTGCATCTTTGTTATTTAGAAAGAAATTTAGTTTCATCTTCATATTTTTTTCCTGACAGGCGTGATATTTTTGGTTCTTTCTCACATGGCCTTCGTTTCTGCGTTGTCGGGCTATAAGTCTGGCTGTACGGGGTTAATCGCAACAGTGTTTACCCCATGACAAAATTTGCAGGTCTAATTTCTGTTAACGTCATTGCATTCGTTTAGTATGCCATAGAATCATCTATTTAAGGTAGAAACCTACTTAAACATGGACAAAATAACCATATATGTGTAATCAAAATTGAGGTTATTAAACTATTTTATTAACAATCGAAATGCACGATAGTTGGCACATTTCTTCAAATATGGTTACAACATATTAATGTCAAAGTAAACGTTTACACTCTCGGCACAGCAAAACACTTCCTTTCATTATCAATAACTTGTATTTGAAGTGTGAAATTTATAACTTTTTAAAAGTTCATGATTCAAACTGAAACGAGGTTTCTATTAGCTGACGGAATACATTTGAAGCGTTTTAAAATGCGCTGGATTCAACTGCCTTTGATATCTATAAATATTTATAATGCTGAGATAAATGCCTTTGTTGCGTCTTGGGTGAGAATACTTTGTAATATTGTCGTACGAAGAGGTCATTAGGTCATTAGATTTCCTTGAATTCTACAGGGCAGTGCTACTTTGTCTAATCAAGTGACCAACTTACCATTGGTTCTTATAGTCACGGTAACAAAAATTTTAACATAATTCAGCACGATCTGATTACATGTAAAATCTGAGGTATTTTATTTAAATTTTA